GGCCAGAAAAGGGAGAACCAAGTGCAACTAGCTCAAAGATTAATTTGTTGGTTTGGTGACTAGGGCCTTGACGGCCGCATTTGAATGCACATTGAGCAATGTCTGGTAGCCAAGGAATGCAGCCTTCCCTTCATCCGTAAACTCAATGACAGCATGCGGAGCGGCAAAACGAGAAGCAACCCGGAGAGCGCAAGCTGTCAAACCAAAGTCATCGTTGGCTTCAACCGTGCGGTTGGGCACGCGGAATCGGAGAAGAGGCTGGCCCTCATGGTACTCATAGCGAAAGCGACTGGGGACGCCATCTGGCAGGTTGAAGGTATACTCAATCGTATGTTCATCGTCAGGATCTGCGGCGACTTCCAAGCCTGCAGGGCAAAAACAAAGAGGAATAATTAACAGGTAACATGGCATGGCTGCACCGTGAATCGGCGTGCGCGTACATAGCGCCAGGAGGTGCGATGCTGCTGTTTTCAATCGGTCTCTGCACGGCTGGTCTGATTGCAATGCCAATCGTTTCTCTGCAGCAAAATTTCAGAAATAAAAAAATGACCTGTCAGTCGACCCATATGCCTAAAAGAAGCCTTGAAGCCGGAAAATCAGGCAAACAGTATTTCGCAAGCACTGGAATTCATTTTGTCTAATCTAGGCCGGTTTGTTTCGGTATTGGGACCGCAATTTGTCTGACACCATTTATCTGTATGTGTGCGTGCATGGAAGCGGTCAAGGACGTAGTGGGTTTGTAGAAAACACAGACGAGGAATGGATGAGAACCAGCGGTCCATGAACCTTCTCAAGTGGCAGCTATCGTCATGACATATCGTGGTAATAGAATCATATTTGTGCACCAATGTGCTGACAAAGGCAGCTCTCTGCGTCAGGCTCTCACCGCCAAAGAATTCCTGAAAGCCGATAACGCCCCCCGTCTCGTTGCATGCCACCAGCCAGCCGCCTGATCGACGACGGGCTCTCTTGGACATCTCCGCAGTGTTACAGGTGACAAAATCACAGGCTTCTGCCATGTCAAGATCTTCGGTTGTTTCCTTGGTCTGGCTAGGCTTGGACTGGATATGAATCTGGGCACGAATCCAATCGTGAAGCGGCCATGCCAAGTCGACCATACCAGCAGGTTTGGACCGCAACAAATCCTGTGGATCTTTGGCTACGCAATGCTTCTTGAAGATGCGGACCCCGCAGTCGACAGAGGCAGGCCTGTCATGGGTGTGACAAAAAGAGCGCTTACGCCCTGGTGTCTTGTCCTTAGATGTTCAAAGTCCAGGGCCGAAGAAATTTCAACATGGGCCCTTCCACTTCCAGCGTATGTGCTATATATCTGTATTCCCCATGCGGGCGTACCACCCCAGACAGTTTTGTGGCAGCTGGCTTCTGATGGCGTGGGGCGCAGATGGCTGGTTGCCATTTTACTCATGGCAATCTCTGGATCCCGGTGATGGCTACGGCTGGGTTTACTTTTTGGCAGCTTTTGCCACGAATTTGGTGCATTTGTTGTTCATCACAGAGCTGGCAGGCCAATGACAGGCACTCTTGCTTGTCTCTTTTGGCTTTGGTGGGTTGGCGGTGGGTCAATGCCATGCTTCGTATGGGTCTTTTGGCCTCGTTAGTTGCTGAGTTCGTGAAAGGCTAGGTCAATCTCCAGCTCGGCCTGACTCTTTTGACCTTCTTGCCGGGCTCATGAACGTGGCAGCCTACCCTCTGAACGGTGATTCTCAAGCATGCTGAGACTTTATGTACAGGAAGGTGGCCTCTTTTTGAAGCTATGTATTCACAGGATGACCGCGATGCTAGAAAGAGCATTATAAGTTTCCTGTAGCAAATTGGATAAAATTTGGAAAAGTTAACTATTGAACATGTAAGCGTCACATTCTTGAACATACAAAAGATCACCGCCAGCGATGGAGCGGAGGTCTGCCATCTGCTCGCAGCAGGTTCGTCTTGTCATCTTTTGGTTACCGTCAATGATTGCAACAAGGGGTGTTCCAGCAGATCTGAACAAGAGGTCAGAGACGAGGGCATTGTACTTTGCCAAATGTTGGTGCAAAATCGCTGCGAAAGGGTCACTGAGAGGGAATGGCTGATCACTAATATCTGGCCATCTCTTCAATAGCTGCAGCTTCATCCACGCATTGGCAATCTTTTCGTGACCATGTTGAACCCCATGATTGGCAAAGTTGTGTGCCCGGCACTCGCCAAGGAAAGAAGCATGCTGATGTACTATGCGTCTGGTAAATTGAGCGTGCCATTCCCAAGTGACCCCAAACCTGGTCGTCAACATAGCTACATCTTGCCGGGCCGTGGCAGCACTCCAAGTATGACGGCCTTTTTCATGAGCTACAAAGTTAGACCAAACATATTTGTTTCGCATGGGACACTTGCGGCGACTGCACACCATGGCAGCATGTGTAGCCTCTGCCAAGCCACTACA